AACAGAACTTTCAAATAAGTCGTTGAATTTGCCTTAAAATGCTTAAAAAGAGAGCAGTAATAAAAATATGTAGTCACGTTTAAAAAAATCACATTCATATTATTAAACGTATTAAAGAAGTGATGTTTGTAATTTATCAGAAGCGATAATGAAAGAATATGAACTGTTAACATTTTCTACATGAGTAAATATGATCCAAATTATGTCGTATTTCGAATCCTTTTAATCAGAAAAATCTCACCCATGTACTAGTAAAAGTATCATTAACAAAGAATCAAAAATAAAAACGTTTCATTGTTGCATTAGTGTTCTCTCACCGATACCCGGGAATGTAATTCTTTTTGGCTCGTGAATGGAAAGCTGTCTTGGCGCGCTGGGGTAACAATGTATGCGCTCGACGGATTCCACGGACGGAGCGGGGGAATGTACGGCGATTACTCGAAGCATTCAATCATCAACGAATGCCCAGAGAGCTGCCGACACATAAAATGTAGCTGGATCACTTCCAGTCACACGGATTTTTATTATTGGTCGAAACGGCACGCACACGAGTGGACTGCGTGGTCGGCTATATTACAACCATTGGTTGGCGAGAGCGTCGCAGGCAAGCCACGCAGCCGGGTCAAGTGTAAACAGAAGCTTACTCCTTGTTTTTCACTCGCTTGTCCTTTTCTATGTTCGGAATATTACAAAGGCAAGTTGCCGAGGGCTCCAGCTTCGGGCAAAAAAAGTACTTACCAGGGTCAGAAGCGGTTCATAAATTCGACGATTATTGCCTCGTTGCGGACCCGAGTTCGGGACAATTTTCGCAAAGTTCCTGTATTTCTAATTTTGAACACTATAACGTAGAAATTGTAGGGTAAAGAAAGAAATTGGTTTATTGAGCCCCTGAGTGAGAGTCTCTCGTGCCAAAGGACAAAAAGAGACGCACAGTGGCATTGAAAACGTCACAACGTCGCACAAAATGGATCCCCACCAGGCCATGCGCCGGTGCACGGAAACCCCTCAGGACTTTTCTTACGTGTAATAGACCATAGATTGTGTGATCGGTGTCGATTGCGCATAACTACGGCATAGATGCGCCGAGGCAGATGAGTAATGGCTGCGTGGCTGCAAACCGCCGCGCATATGTTTTCGACGAAGATTTTTTCGTCCTATTGGAATACAAATCCGTTTCTATACTTTACCTGTATGGTTTCTTCATCAGATATGTCTGCAAAATCCTATTAAAGAAGTTTCGTCAAAATGTAAAAATAGTGCGTAGAAAGTACGCGCACTGACTCTTTTTTAAACTTTGAGGTCCAGTTACAACCATTCAGAATTACAGAATTTAATAACTGTATACAGTGGTATAATCAGGAAACTGTCCTCTATCTTGCAAGAATAAACTAAATTTTTTAGCATTTATAGTTTTCACGTAAGGCACCATTTTTGCCCGAGGCCATGCGTTTTTATAAAAATTTCTCTTTCCCAAAAACTGAGGATGATAGAGGAATTCTGCTTACGAATTCGTGTTTAGGACGAGAAACTCTCTAAGAATTACCCAATGGGTTGCAAAACGGAACCAAGGTGAAAAGTTATTGGATAGTGTAATCTGAATTGGATTTATTGAAAACCAGAGTTCGCATGGAAAAAGTATTCTGACGTCTGCAATTTATCTTTAAACATATAAATATTCCGTTTCTTAGTTGTATCATTAGTGACGGTGCACCTTGCATGGAAATAAAGTATAATAATAATAATGATAATAATAATAATACTGATAATGATAATGACGATTTTTGATTAGAGGGGGCAAATGCATTACGCACCGCCAGGAGGCTCATGCCTTCCGGTGTGCGGGGCTCTCTGGTCTCGTGCAGTATACCCGCTAAAAACCCTCCTCCATGTCAACTCCCAGGCTCAGCCCGGCACCGCTTTCCCATTATTTCAGGCTGGGGCCGTTTTAACAACTACGCTGTAGGTCAGCGCCTCCTCGTTACTCTTCTGGCGAAAGGCAGTTTCAGCAAAGACGGCAACCTTCGCTCAGGCGTTTGGGATTTGTAGTATTAGCCGGACGATTCGTGGGTTGTCACAGTCAGCACAGCGTGGTTCCGCAACTTTCCCGATTTTTTGGAGGCAGGCACGGAACAGGCCGTGCCCCGTCAATAGCTGCGTTAAATAATAATTTACGACGCCATGTTGGCCACTGTCGAAACGTTAAGCTCGCCGGTTAGGCGAGCAGTCTATCTTCCTCGCGATTCTCGCGTCCATGAGTCTTGCCAAGCACTCATGGTGTCGGCTCTGGCAGTCTCTTAGACGCACGTCAAGTCGGGAGGAGAATAGTTTCGGCAGTGCACATAACGAATCGCTTCATGCAAGGCGGTGTGCCACCAATGTTCGCCATGACGCCGTGACCGCCGCCGCTTTGTCTGCTGTCCGTTTGATCTGTTCCCAGAAGGTGAGCTGGGTATCGAGCAACACCCCCAGGTACTTCACAGCTGCCTTGGTCTGGACCGTCACATGTCCTACCTGCATGGGGCGCAAGGTGTCTATGCGGTTCTTCGTGAGAAGCACGATTTCCGTCTTTGCTATCGCAAGCTTCAATCCGTGGTCGCCCATTCAGGAGCGGAAGCAACGCATGACCTGATTGAGTCGCATTTGGGCCGCGGTCACATCCCTCGTGGTAACGGCTGCAACATCGCCCGCGTAACCAATCAGAAAAGTGCTGTCGGACATATCCATACGTAGGGTACTGTCATAGAAGACGTTCCATATGTCTGGTCCCAGTACGGAGCCATGGGCAATCCCTGCCGTCAGCTCCCTCTTTTTCGGGCCATCCTGCGTTTCGTTGGTGATGAAGCAGTGCTTCAGGTAATCATCAATGATCCGGAGGAGATACTCGGGTACCTTGAAGGCCCACTTCAACGCGTCTAGGGCGTACTTCCACCTCACCGAGTTGAAAGCATTCTTCTCCAGCTCCATGCCTCTGGCAGTTTAAACTATCTACTAGATAGCGTCGATCGTCGATCTCCCTCCGTGGAAGCCGCATTGCTTTTTACTGAGGTTGCCGGCGGATCTCACAGCGTCGTGGGGACAAGGACTCAACAGCAGCTTCAGGAGTTTGCCGGTTATATACAGAATGCACAGAGATCTATATGATGATAGAGCGTCTGCTGGCCTCTTGTCTTTGCTTATGAGTACAGGTATCCCTATCTTCCAGTGGGAGCAGGAGACGCCCGCCTTCAGGCTGAAGTTGTACATGTTAAGCAAGAGCCGCGGGTGGCTCTTAACAACGGCTTTCAGCACCGCGCGCGCGCACACATACACATACACACATTGATGCAGTAAAAGGCTGCTATAATTAATGTAAAGCGAAATTTGTCTTTGAGTGCTAATGTACAAAATTCAGAGATATGTCTTATAAACTTGTGTGACGAAACTCACTAACGCGTTGGTCCGACGGAGAGCACCGATACCGCGGCACGCTCTACCGCTCTCGGTCGCACGCCGTGACGTCACTCGATTCCCGGAATCCTGCGGCCACGAGATGGCTTATTACGGTGAGTCATTCGCGCAAGGGAAATTGTAAGCCACCGGCTTAAGAATCGAGGTCCACCGGCCAAAAGCAGGTTACTTGGCTAGACCACAAGGTGAGGTAGCTACCGAGAATCTTGTCTGTATTGCTATTCCGGGTGTAATATATATTTTGTGTGTGATTTCGCTGCTGTATTCTTCCGCTTTCCGCTCCCGTCGGGTCTCGTAAGAGTATAGCCCGATTTCCTCTGAGTTCCGACTTATAGGCGCGTCTCGAGCATCTGGTCCGTTGTACGCCCGCCTCTACTCCACATTCCGCTAGTCAGGTCTCGGCCCAGGAACGCGTAAAGCTTACCGGCACGAGTATAGCCCGACTCCCTGTGGGTTCTGACCTATAGGCGCGTCTCCATCGTGTGGTGCGGTGTACGCCCGCTTCTGCTCCTCCATTCCCTCTCACAATACATATGGCAGTGAGCAGCTCCGTAGGGGACTCAGAGAGTCGCTGTTACTCCACGCCGTGGAAGTATATCGGACAAGCGCGTCGCGTTCTGCTTACACCGCCGTACTCGCGATTTATTCGCATCTCTGTATTATATTTTGTATCTCACTTGCACCACTGTTTTCGCGATCCATTCGCATCTCCGTATTATATTTCGTATATTACTTGCACCGCTGTATTCGCGATCTATTCGCATCTCCGTATTATATTCCGTATCTCACTTACACCGCTATATTCACGATCTATTTGCATCGCTGTATTTTATTCCGTGTCTCGCTTACACGCTGTATCCACGAACTATTCACACCGCTGTCTTATATTCCTTATTTTGCTTACACCTCAGCATTCGCGATCTATTAACTTCTCTGTATTATATTTCGTACCTCGCTTACACCGTTGTATTCGCGATCTATTCGCATCGCGCTCACTGCAGTAAGTTCCGTATCTCTAGTCACTGTCGGACACTGTACATAAACCCGCGTCACCGATAATTGTACATAGTCTCCCGAGGCACCCATTGAGACAAATAAAGGGTGGATATCCAGCCTGAACTCTGGCTCATTCTTTGGCAACCGACCCCTGGCATACCGACTGAGTCGGCACCGCCTACTCCCCTCCGTATCGGCGACGTATGTTGCACCTTTAACTTTCAATGAATGTTTGAAGATGTTGATAGAACCAGAAAAAAAGTCGTCGTTAACCGAAATATTGTTGGTACAATTGCATATTCTGGTCAAGGGGTCCCTAAACTTTATATCACTTCTGAAGTAATTAATCCGAAAAGTCTCTCGATTGCGTACAGAGCGTGGGTACGCAATAGGTTTTATCAGATACAATAAAGGAAGATTGTGAATAATATGGTTTAAAATTTTACAGAGAAATGATAGTCGCCAGACTTTCTTCTATCCCCCAATGTAGACATATTTAGGCCCCTGGGGAGGTGGTCGTAATTGTGGAATATTTTATTTCTATGTATTCAAATTTTTTAGGCGACACTGACCTTGGTACCGATTCTTGAGACAATCTGGTTTATGAAAAGCAACATTTGTGCCGGAGTTTGTTCCAGCGGGGATTTCAAAGCAGTCCGCCGTTGTACCCGAGCCAAATCACCCGCTTGACTTTCCAACGCCAATAGAAGTTTCTCAACCTGGAGTTCCTCTCCTAAATCCATTAGCCATCTACGGACGTACTCGAGACCATTGATGGCTACGCACATCTATCAAATGAAATTATAACATCACGGATCGAACGACGACATTGTGTATCATATGTTTTATGTAAGAAATATTCTCCGTCTCTTATTGTCAGACCTTAGATGCAATAAATGAGCTAAGATTCACATAATCTAATGAAATCGGGAAATTGAATAGGTACCGTGACCAATCTTAAATTGTACAGTTACATTTTTGCTGCAGTATGTATTTGGTAGCATAGCAATTTTGTAAAATTCTTCACGATATTATTCAAACACCACTGAATCATTCGAGAATGTTGAACCTTAAGATCATGAAGTAGAAAGCAAAATTTCTGTAATTTTAATTTCACGCTGACGAGATTATTTCTAACAGCCTGAGAAAATCTTCCTGATAAAAATGATCCTAAACACGGTCTTAATTGGACTATTTTGATACCTGACTTCTAATGTGTACATACGTTTGCATATAAGCAAAGATAGTTATATTTTTTTTAAGTAGTCCTAATTTATGCCGTGTTTGGACTCATTTTCACCAGGAAAATATCGTAATATCTGTTAAACATATTTTCATAAAGACAGAACGGTAATTATAAAAATTTCAATTTTCGCACACCAGTCTTTACATACTTTGTTACAGTTGCTGAACAAAAATGGATCGCCCGAGTTTTACACTTCAATTTGCTTGCAGTGTCTGTCTCGTTCGACGAATCAGCTTAGCGCTTGGCTTTATCTTAACCTTTAGAGAACGGGCAGGTTTGTCCATGACTTTCCATATTTTTGACTTAAAACTTTTATATATTTGTCCTCTAAAGCTTATATGCCGTCAAATTTGGTGCCACCAAAGAACTACTCTACGGACCTTAGAAGTAGCTACCTCGTGTGGAGTTCACTGTAATTCAGTGAAGTAGCTTGTAACATAACGCTATCGTGACTAATGCTAAACACTATTCCCTTTCTGTGTGTCTAAACATAGATAGATGTAAAAAAATACACTAGAAGTAGAGGAATGATATTAATAATATCGTGTGCATCGCTAGAATTGAATGGCTTGCCTGTAGTCAGTCACGTTTGTAAGCTGCTTTTATGCTGTGGATCATTCGCTTGCGTCATTCGCATAATCAGTTGCGTCTACGATACTATGTTTATGCCAAGCTCAGTGCAAGGTTCAAGCGTGTTTAAAAAAGAAACGTCGTCCATTTCCGCGGCAACGTGTGTCCAGGGATAGCCCTACAGCTAGTTTGCTAAGCAATGTAATGTCATACAAATGCAAAGCGGTCTCTACCTGAGCGATTACCTCGTCTGTAGTCTTATAAGGGGTCTGCTCCTCGTAATAACCACTTTCGGATAGTTTCTGGTGGGTGATCTCCGCGTAGCATGACGCTGAACTGCATATCGCCTAGAATACACGAGAGAAATGATTAATATGATATACCAATAATATATCAACACAAATTGCAAGTTTTTACGAAGCTCAAGAAATTTGTTTGATAGAAACATTGACAAGGAGAGGTCGCCAGGTGTAACGTTCACTTTTTATTGAGGTGTAGTTATGAGGCCATTAGTTTATGAAACATTTAGTATTCCGTGCCGAGGAGTCTTTAAGCACTCATCGAGGATTTGCTATATCGCCTATGTTGGACCACTACTGGAATTTGTTATGTGTAAGCTATCTGCGCCGTATGATATACAATATGTGTTGCTTATTATACTAAATTAGTTAATGCAACCACCACTATCATACTCATATTTTCTATATTATAAGGCAATACGAAATTGCTGATAGTCTAAAATAAATATTGTTTAGGGGTTATTGAAGCTCGATGGACAACCTTTATACTATTACACATAAAGTAATAAAAGTCACCTGAAATATCGGGTGATTCACGAAAAGTACTTATAAGACCTAAATATCTTTGTTAGGATTGATGATAGAAAAACATATTACAGAAAAAAGTTGTAATGTTCAAGGAGACAAATATGATGGTATACAAAATTTTCTGATTATTAATGTCTTAAACGTCACCGATGGAATTTAAGTGGCACCGTATATTTTTAACATTATAATATATATGCCAAGACAAATCAAACGATGTTTATGTTATGACCTTCAACTGACATTCGACTCATAAGTAGGTATAGCTTTACTACTCCGTTTTATCAACGGAAATTCGGTTTCTTAAGACATTACGTATACCGTTTAGGTATAACGCGTATACCATTGACGCAAAGTGATCTCTGAACGTAAATAAACATGATTGTCAACAAACTACAGATACCCACGTCTAGTCTGTTATTGTCACCGAATTATTGCGGTACTGTTTGAGTTTATCGACATACCGTGCAACGATGCGTTACTCAAAGGAAGGACAGATCGATCTTGTTTCTATTTATCACGAAAGCCGTCAGTGTCTTCGAGAAGTTGTTCGACTTTACAAAGACCGATTTTTAGATCGCAGTTGTCCACCTCTTTTTAGAAATTTTGTAGTCCCAGATCATTTGAAGATCATAGTATATCACATCGTTGAACTCGTCTTGACATCAGCTACATCATTATGAAGTTAAAAATATATAGTGCCAATTAAAAAACCATCGATGACCCTCAAAAGACCTTAGAAACAACAACAATCAGAAAATTTTTAATATCAACATATTTGCCTCCTTGAACAGTATAACTTTCCTCTTTAACATATTCTTTTCTCTTCAATCCTAACGGAGATATTAAGGCACCCGGTATATAAGTTTTACGAAATATCACATTTTCTTCGTATAGACCAGATTGCCTAATACTTATGAGCAGCGGTGTTTGTACGTACGCAGGAATATTATTTCGTGCGAAACTGTTACATTATACTCGTTGTTATATTTTTCGAGTAATTGAGATCGTTCACCATTATGAGGGACACTAGATTACGTCTGATTACACTGTGCAACAAATTAAAACTTTTTTCTGATCTACAATATCCATTGGGAGATCCTTCTAGAGTTCCCGGTCCAGATGACGAATCCGGAAGCAGAATTTCTCATTCCTCCTCAGTTTTGGAAAAACATGAGCTTTTGTAAAAGCACCCGATTTGGGTTAAAAATGACGTATACGTAAAAACTAAAAACGCTAGAAAGTTTAATTTAATCTTGAAAAGTAGAAGAGAGTTCCTTGCATACATTAGTGTATTTAGTAGGTTACACTGTGTAATTCTTAATGGTTGTAAATAGCCGTGAAAGTTTAACACTAGAACTACCAACGATGAACACATATCTTTTTCGCTCGATCGGTAAATATGGCAAGCTTTTGAAAATTTACAAATTTATAAATTAACTGATTTCTTTAATGTTGTATTGTAATAAAAGTTAAAGACGATCTGAGGAAACGTATATTTATAACATTTTAATCATCCTTGTAAAAGTGTATTGGCAAGTCATTTTGACTTGCTAGTAGCTATACTAGGCCGATTCTGACTCACGGATCGAACGGAAATGTCGTTGATAACGGAATTGTACTCTTACGTATCGCAGACCAAACCCGGCTCCAACGGAAAGTTCTCGCGCTATTGCACGCCTACATAAGCCAGACCTGACCATGATAGAATTTTTGGAATTCTTATGTTATCGCACTCGTCCCTTTAGCAATTTAAACCCGATTCCAACGGAAATATTACACAATTGCATGTGTACATACCACAGACCTAACGCAGGAAAAGTTCTCACGCTATTGTACGCGTATACAGGGTGTCCCAAAAATGTCCTCCGACCCGGAAATGGGGCACTCGGGGGGTGAATTGGAACAACTTTTTCCTTAGCCAAAATTTAAACTGAGGCTTCGTTTACGAAATATTAACGAAAAACCGCGACCAATCAGAGCGCGAGTTTGCCAGCCGAGTTCCCGCGCTAGCGGTGGCTACGCGCTACGCTTGTACTACGAAGCTCCAAACAAGTAGGTCAGCATGCATCGCAGGAAACTGCGTATAACAGCAAATAAACAAGACGTAACAAATAAAATCATCTGCCGTTTGTTATTTAAAGAGATTAATGAATGAAACGTAAATCTAGGCAAATTATATGTAACGTAAAAAGACGAATGCACATGTACTTTTTACGAATTTGTAAATTTCCTTTCCAAATAACGTGTGAACGAAAAGGTAATGTAACAAAGAATGAACGAGAAGTGATCGTGGTTCGGTATTGGCATAAAAATTCGTAGTTTAATAAAGGTCAACAATGTTACTGATAATGAATAAGTTTCTTCAAATAGCCCGAAGAAACATTTAGGTACAGAAACTTGCAGAATTATCGCCGAAAATAAGTCATAGCTTCCGTTAAAAAATTCACATACAGTTTGCAAACCTGTGTCACTAGGTCACTGAACCGATCCTGGTCATCGACTGCCGAAACGGTTTATGGCAGGGTATCGCCCAGTTCGCAGGTGATCGCAGGTATACCTCATCAGCCGAAGATAACGGTTGTAACGTCAAGTGCGTCCTGGTTATTCCACCGAATACGTACTCACTTCACTGCACGACCACTAACATTGATCACCCGACACAATCACTTAATGTATATTTAATCCAACGTGTTGTTCCTGCGTTAGAAAAACTCGTGGTCCCGAAAAGTGCCGATTGTTTTCAATTTATCAGATGTTCTACGTTGTTTTTATATTTCTAATAATTTCCGAGATATTTGACGGAATACTAAAAAAAATACGTATGAAATATTTTCATGAGAACTACAATTTCACAGAGTTGTAATGAAATTGGCGATTGTCAATTCTGTTGTGAGTTCACGGCTGCTACAAGGCCGATGAAATTGAGCCATAAATAACCGACAAGTCCGCTCCGGCCTCTACAAAGGTGGTCGGACGGGACCAAGCAGCGTCAACTCACACGTGTCGGTGAATTTTTTTCCCTGCTCTTCGAGGAAAACAATGTGCATTGTACTTGTACTCCAACTGGAAGCAACGGGCACATTGGTAGTCCTCTTTATTTCGGACATTTTCAAGCCGATGCACGTGATGTATGTTTTCTGTCTCGAAGCAGTAGGTACCCTGGCAATAACTTAACAGGCTAAGCGCCTTGGTGAAACTGCACGACAGTTCTTTCCTTGCACTTCTGCAAAGCACGTATTATCCTAGAACCGTTCGTTTCTTTTTACCTAAATCTTGTCGTGGTGGGAGTGAACTCACAATGTAACGATGGGAAACTACTTGGGGGTAGGGGAAGCCCTTTCGGAAAAATTCTGTCAGTCGGTTAGCAATTGGGCGACAGAGATGTACAGTTCACAGGAGTATTACGCAATGTTCTAGTGGTACGTACAGAATAACGGATATGCGACTGCTGCTGTGCAAATGTTTGGCAACGTAGAACATCTGATAAATTGAAAACAATCGGCACTTTTCGGGAACACGAGTTTTCCTAACGCAGGAACAACACGTTGGATTAAAAATACATTAAGTGATTGTGTCGGTTGATCAGTGTTAGTGGTCGTACAGTGAAGTGAGTACGTATTCAGTGGAATAACCAGGACGCACTTGACGTTACAACCGTTAACTTCGGCTGGTGAGGTATACCTGCGATCACCTGCGAACTGGGCGATACCCTGCCATAAACCGTTTCGGCAGTCGATGACCAGGATTGGTTCAGTGACCTAGTGACACAGGTTTGCAAACTGCAGGTGAATTTCCGAAAGGGTGAATTCTATTCAATTTATTGCTGATTATTATTTTTTTAATTTAACGGAAGCTATGACTTATTTTCGGCGATAATTCTGCAAGTTTCTGTATCTAAATGTTTCTTCGGGCTATTTGAAGAAACTTATTCATTGTCAGTAACATTGTTGACCGTTATTAAGCTACGAATTTTTATACCACTACCGAACTACGATCACTTCTCGTTCATTCTCTGTTAAATTACCTTTTCGTTCACACGTTATTTGAAAAGGAAATTTGCAAATTCCTAAAAAGGAATTTACAAAAAAGTAAATGTGCATTCGTCTTTTTACGTTACACATAATTTGCCTACATTTACGTTTCATTCATTTATCTCTTTAAATAACAAATGTCAGATGATAAAGAGTATGATTTTATTTGTTACGTCTTTTTTATTTGCTATTATACGCAGTTTCCTGCGATGCATGCTGACCTACTTGTTTGGAGTTTCGTAGTACAAGCGTAGCGCGTAGCCACCGCTAGCGCGGGAACTCGGCTGGCAAACTCGCGCTTTGATTGGTCGCAGTTTTTCGTTAATATCTCCGTAACGAAGTGTCAGATTACATTGTTGCTAACGAAAAAGTTGTTCCAATTCACCCCCCGAGTGCCCCATTTCCAGGTCGGAGGACATTTTTGGGACACCCTGTACATCGTTTTTGTTTCATTTTAGTATCCGGGGCTACTCACTTTTCCTCTAGTACAGGCCTGTCCAACTTCTGGCCCGCGGGCCAAAATCGATAATCGCCCCTACCGGCTTGCTCTTTCAGCCGAGGGGAATGACCCCCCTCCATATCCACAAGAAGCCCGACGATATAGAGAAAAGAAAGCGTGTGTACATGCTCTGACTGTCCCCACTTCTGACGCTCCAGAAATTCCTACCCGCACGTACCTCTTGCCCCACGATCGCATCGGAGCGCAAGCGAGTAGTGGGGTATGGACTGAGTGATGGTGGGGACCGCGTCGTCTGGGGAAATGACCCGCGGGCCAGAAGTTGGACAGGCCTGCTCTAGTCTCTAGTACATAATGCAGGTTTTCGGTTCATTAGGTTGACGAATACTACGTTGATAATTTTGAAAATATTGTTTCTATTTCATCGATATGTATATTAAATTGTATTAAATGAATATTAAAGCTTCGTACTCACGTCGACAACTTTCAAAACCGAATTGTATGATCCCGGAACATCTGGCCATGCCAACTTTTTCCAGAATTCTTTGATCTGTAAACATTTATTAGAGCGTTCAATTTTACGATATCTTGAAGAATTTGTATAACTTTTTTCTTAAAGTATTGTCTTTTTTCGATGTACCTGATAGAAGCACGCTGTGACATCAATCGCGGACGTGCAATGTTTCACTATGTATTCACCGGCGCAGATTTGATCGAGTTCAGTCGACTTTTGTACACGTTGAAATGCTTTCAGTTTCGCCAGATCCAACCATTTGTCGACAGCTGGTCTGAACCACTCGTAATACTTGCAAGTCGCCAAAGTTTTGTGGTCAGACTGCGGCAGGTTCTCCTTCATTCTATAAATGATGCTTTTACCTCAGTCGTGTTTAATATTATTTTTACATTAGAATAACAATTACGAGAACCATAATAATTGTATGACCTCGTAGTATAGAACATGTTGCTAAATTGATATTTTGTAGGATTAATGAAACATTAAATAATCAGTACATGCAATGTTATTAAAAATGACATTAACACATATGCAGAGAGAAAAAATGAATTTTCCATATGAGTGTTAACATACTTTTGAATTAGACTGCAGATATCTATGCGAACCAACATTTCATGGAATAACTGATAAGACACAGAAGTAAAAACAGATGCGTCTTAGCTTTCTTAAAGATCTCATCGAGGTAAGAATAAAATCAAAAGTTTATTAACCCTATTGAAAAGTTCATCACATACGCAGTCTAATAATAATATGAAATATTGCGAATTCATGATGAAAAATTAATTAATGAACTGGGACTGTTCACGTTCTGTATTTAACCATTCCAGTATTTGTTCGGTTTGAAAAAATTTTTCAAACAACATTTGCCTTGACTCTTTTTTCTATTTCCTTATATATTTCGATCACGCGGGAAACAAAATATGTCCAGATACAATTCGTTTAATTCGTTCCAAATCATCAATACATAGTAAAAACAGAAAAATAGATATTAATGACTTAATATGGGATCGGCATCTCCATGCCCAACAAGAGATGCAAATACCATCAGTGGAAAATAGGAGGGCTCCGAGGAGAAACGTCTAGAGCAGGCTTGGGAATTAATTGCTTGTTTAGGCCGATTTTCGGAGACAACACCCTCCTTCCTCTCGACGCGCATCTCGGTCACCGCGAGTGCTAAGAAGCTCGGTCCACCTCTGGCGTGTGCCATATCAACCACGCGTGGTAATCGAGTCGAATTAGACTTCTTTCAAAAAATAACTTTAAGTAGCTATCCTTTTACATGAAAATGTTTGGAAAGTCATTAGAAATGAAATGTATACGTTTGAGACTCATGAAAAGTTGGGGAACATTGTTAAGAAATCCGAAAAGATTTGAGAAACATGTTTTTCGTTTGTAGAAGGAAACGTAAAGATTTTTCAGAAAAAGAGGTCAAATAAGAAACTTAGGCATTAGAAATACCTATAAAGTGAGATATAGTACGTTAAAATGGGTTTACACGTCAAGTTGCAAAAGAATTAAAACTGTCGAAATAGGCTGTTTCTTCAGTTCTTTAATACTCGAAGGGAGACCATAGAGGTTTGAAAGTTTAAGAGAATATGGTCTTCATTACGGTTAAGAACTGTGACAAATTTCACGATTAAATATGTATTCGTTTTTATAAAAAGTCATTTATTTATCCAAAAAGAGTATTCGGAAAAGTTAATTTCTACATTTTTGGCAAGTCGGACAGCAACCAGAGGGTGTATTTTTTACAGCAGGAGAGTTGTACTATCATGTACACTTCCACATGAAGTGAATTTTTAAATTAAACCACCCAAATGTGTTTCCAAAGTATGGGTATCTTTTTTCACGTAAACAATTTGAATACCTTCAATTTCGACTGTATCGAATTGCTGTATAGGCCATTCGATAGCTGCTATGTTTCTACATATTTCAAAATAAAATATTCCACTCTATCTTAACTAAGAGCCGAGATAATTTTATTTTTTTAAATCACTGTAGCGTCACATTTCAACATTAAGAGAGTGGAGCGGAGTGGGGAGAGCTGGCCGTGCGAATGAGTTCGAGACCTTGAAATTGACCTCGTGCGTTATATCTGGCAAAGTTGGAAAAATTTAGGTTTTCTCTGCAACAAATGACCGTAAAACAATGATTTTTATTTCATTTGGGGTATCTCGACGAGGTATTAATAAATAGCGTGGCCAATTTAAAAAAAAAGCGAATGTAAACCCAAAATTTTTACTTCTTTGATTTTTTATATTTTAAATTGATTCGTTTTGTTTATTAAGTATAGGTGGTGTTTAAATGCTAAATATACATGCGACTTACACATGTAAGTCGTACAAAACAAGTTCTGTTTTTTCAATTTAAAAAATGTGCAACTTTCAGATTTATCTCAGTTTTATAGCGAATCTTTCTCATCAATGTTATTTATATTATTCAAAATAGCATACATGAATAAGCGACGAGTTAAGTCATTGTGACAAAGTAAGCAATAACTTGAGTAAATACAAATTTAATTTTAGATCAATGTGTGCTTAATTTTGGTTGCATTTGTAAGGATCGCGTAACGGTTCGATGATTAAGTGTGAGCATTGCGCGACCTAAAGCCGCGTACTCACCAAGCGAACGAGGACGAGCGAACAGGAGCGAGCGAGCATTCTCACTCAGTGCTCGTTTGATGTATACCGCTGATACCCATACTTTGGAAACATATTTGGGTGGTTATTTAAAAAATTCACTTCATCTGGAAGTGTACGTGATAGTACAACTCTCCAGCTGTGAAAAATACAGCCTCTGGTTGCTGTCCGACTTGCCAAAGATGTAGAAATTAACTTCTCCGAAGACCCTTTTCGAATAAATAAATGACTTTTTGTAAAAACGAACAAATATTTAACGCTGAAATTTGGCACACTTCTTAACCGTAATGAAGACCATATTCTCTTAAAATTTGAAACCTCTATGGTCTCTCTTCAAGTATTAAACAACGAAAGAAACAGCCTATGTCGACTGTTTCAATCCTTTTGCAACTTGACGTGTGAACCCATCTTAACGTACTGTATCTCACTTTGTAGGTATTTCTAATACCTGAATTTTCTATTTGACCTCTTTTTCTTTAAAATCTTTACATTTCCTTCTACAAGCGAAAAACATCTTCCTCAAATTTTTTCGAATTCGTTTAACAATGTCCCCCAACTTTTCATGAGCCTCAAACGTATACATTTCATTTCGAATGACTCCGAACATTTTCATGTAAAAATATATCTACTTGAAGTTATTTTTTAAAATGGGGGTTTCGAAGTCTAGTTCGTCTGGACTATGGCGCATTAGGGTGATACTCGCGTTGCACATGTTATGTTAGGTTATGCTTCGTTACTTTGCCACAAATTGTCTTGCGTTTACTGCAGTGACGCATCGTTACTCTCTCTTCCTCTATCTCTGGAGAGAATATACTAACGCTACATAGCAAGAGCAGATTAGGAAGGTAGCATAAAAAATATGAAAAATAAATTCATTTAAAATTTTGACTAAATCATTTGGAAGTTGTCATTTATCATAAATAGAAACGAATTTCTAAGGTACGATATTGGAGTCGAAGTCCATTATTACATAAATATTCAAAAGAATTTATTCACCTAATGATCTAAGATAACCGTTTATTTCAAATTGTTCGAATAATACTCAACTCTAATTATTATGCGTGCCATTATCTGAATAGTTTTTTAATGTTTATTCAAATTGATTATGTGAATAAATGACACAAATGTTCAAACATCATTCTCATCGTCAAAACGAGGACGATGTAAGATGTGTATTAATATATTAATAGTACAACATACGTTAAATGTCAGGCATGTAAAAGATTTGTATGTAGGAAGCACTCTAATGCACTCATAATGTGTATTTCTTGTTTATGATACTAAAAAAGAAGATTCTAGATCACCAACATAAAATGTGAGAAACAGTACCAAAAGAAACACCTTATTATAATTCGAGATACAGCAGACATTCGATTCCCGCACGAGTCGGGGCTGTACAGGGCTAAATATTTAGGAACCGTGCAAGAATCGGTGACCTAACCCGAGCGCTTTCCCCACCACTCGGCTGTTCAATTGAGCGACGCAGTCGCATGTAGGGTGGGCTGGATATACGCACTTGTCGGATATGTTAATTATCCCAGTTATTTTTAGAGATATCAGGAAAGTGTATTCTTAGAAGTTTTTTAGTATGGAGAGGGCTATTACTGAGCAGTCACAGTTTTTCCGTAGGTGAAGAATCTTTTGAGTTCTCAAAGTTAATTATGTTCTTTTATTAATGGTATTAAAATACTATGGAATAAAAATACTTTTTGTTTTACATAAATCGATTCTCCTAAACATGCAGCGTAATAAAGTATTAAGGTATTATGTGAAAAAGTTAATAAATCGTGACATATTTTAGTGACAAATGTCTAGCTAGCATCTTTTACCCATTATGTGTGATCCGCGAGACAAAGAGCAATGAAATCGCCATGAATATTTATTCCAAAAGTATTCATTGCACCAATAAAAACATTATTAAAATAGTATTATATACATTTCGCTTTCTCTGATAAGATATGCGTGTTAAACGCGACACCGTATCCGTGTTCCGGCCTGGGCGTGCTGGGCGACAGAGTAGGATACGCGCACGTGTGTAAGAAATCGTGTGAGCAAGGGGCGTGTCTTCCGTGCAGATAACGGTAGCGCGGGAATTGAATGCTGGCTGTAGTGAAGTTTTTGTGTACATTTTACCTATAATATATAATTTCCAGCGAATTAACGATCACAGATAATAAAATAATTGCTCCATTTTTGTCCGATCACATTATGTATTATTTTTCGGTTGTCAGTGCCCGTGTTGTGTGTTTTATATGCTTAAGTTTACCTCGAGGTCTGGCCTCATGAGGTCGACTAACGTTACGGGAGCTGGGTCTCTCGAAACCACCTTGTAATCCGTAGCGCAGGCCTGTCCAAATGGCGCCTAGCACTGAGAGCATCGGGCGCCCGGGCTTGCCACGACGCACAGTGAGGTATTTGACCGGAAAACAGCAGTATTTAGCAAAAAATTGAGACTTGAATGACAACAATTTTTGTACTCGAAGAAAATGCCAAGAAACCTATATGAATAAAGTGATTTATTACAAGTATAGTGTTAAAGAAGTGCAATAACGACATACGTAGGATATAGAGGATCGTATGTAGAGTAATTTGACACCTTGTTTATTTCACTTTTGTGTGTGGTTTTGATAAAATAACAATTTGAATACAGTGTTTTTTTTAAATCAAGTATAAAACACTGAATTACTTTTTCGCACCCCAAAGC